GCAAACAACGGTCTGTCCATTATGAAAATCTTCGAGCATCGAAGGGTGCATCAGTATACCTGGTAGAGAGAAAACTTGTGCAAAGAAGTCGATGATTGATTTGATAGAATCATGACGCTCTGTAATGGACGTTTACGTTACGCGAGACGCAGAGCTGTCAACCGATCATGACCTTGTTCTTGGCTCCCTCCGCTGCAAACAATGGAGTACAACGCAAAGACCTGTCAGCCAGAGAATTGAATGGGAAGCAATATCCTATGTGGAAAAAGAGCAAAACTCGATAACAACATCCTATGAAAATATGAACATATCCAAATGATGACCGCTGATGTGGAAACCGTCTGGAAGTTCTTTTAGAGGGGCTTACTCAGGGGGGCAGCCGAATGCTGTCGTATAAAACGGGTTGGCCTGCCTCTTAGAAATCAGAAACGATCTTTGTGACGAGAGAGGTTCAACTTGCTATCTACTAGTAGCCTGCATTCAAGACGTGGATTGAGCATTTAAAGAATTAAACTCGAATGCATGATGAAAAATCGCGCTAGGCGACAGCGTAAACGAAGGTGGCCAAAGTGAAAGCTGATTCCTGGGAAACGTTCCGTCAGTCATTGGAGTAGGATTCCCAGACGGCAAATAAGGTATTCTGGTAGATCAACTGACAGGACTAAAATGGAATAAAGTGCAATCTAATGTGCGAACACAGTGAATGTGAAGAATGTGTGAACACTCTCTTACCGAGGATGAGGACATTCTTCGGCGATGGAGAGTACTCTGAAGAATGCCATGAACAACAACAGGAAGACTCGTAGGAAGAGCAGCAAAGAACACATACTTTCAGTGTAATAGCCTGTAAAGTGTAGAGTGAAAGAGCGAAGAATGAAAATGCACAGGCGGTGGAAACAGGTCATGAGTATCGACATAATTTGGGGTAGAGATATCCGAGAGCCTTGGTACACAGCCCTGCTTCGCCAGAATGAGAATTCACAGCTGCATGGTTCGGACACGTCTGACAAACGTTTTGAGAATGAAAGGAAAACTAGCAAATAATTGTTCAACCGATCGACCGACCGAAGGCCGTGAGTAAGTCAAGAATGACATGGGGCAAGTGCATCGAGGGACTCTGCGCCAGATTTGGATTATCGCCTGTTGAAGATCAAATGCTGGCACGGAATCGAGAACGTTGGAGACATTGACTGAAGCGCCTGCTTCCGCGACCCGAAAAGATTAGGGCTAGTCGAAACTATCTGACTGAATACAGTTTGAGTTTGACAGCAAGATCACGCATGATGAATGATTCTTGCAAAACATATAATAGGCGTCATCTATCTGATCTTGGTATGAAAGCGGTAAAATCTGGAAGAAACTGTTTCGCGTCTGCAATATGTTTCATATGCAACAGTTCATTTCGCAAACTTATGTTACTTATGTCTTATAATGCCATTATTTTAACGCATTTGTATGTTTACCTTCATATACTAAACAACAGAATTTGCAAACAATCTAATTTAAGCGTGATTCATTCGTTAATTCATTAATTTGTCTTTATTAGTCTTGCGCCCATACAGCAAGTCTTGCGATAGCTTTTGAATAGTACTGGGAACGACGCCGATGATTATAATTAAGCAAATTTAGTAAAAAACATTAAGAAATAAGAAAATTAACAGCATCTGAAAAATGATTCAGAATTCTGGATGGTGACAACATAAATGCACACCTGCGGATAAGACTACTATGCCCGATGACGCGAAAGTTGTTAAACATTTATTCTGTGACATCATCCATCCAGTATTGTTTGATTCATACGTCTATCTTGCACAAGAGTGGTCACCCTCTTCCAGAAGCTCTTATCATCATGCTGCAGTACAGATAGAGTGGAAAAAAATATTTTCCACATGCTTTCTTCCCGCACAAAAAGAAACATTGATCCTAAATCCTTCAGTTTGGACATCTAATAGAACGGCTCGAAATAATAACTGTCACCGAAGCAGGCTTTCTGTGAAAAGCAAATAGGATAGCTTTTAGAAAGAAACACCCAATAAAGAAAGCTGAGGTCAAAGCAGACTTGCCCTTACCATGAAATCGTTTTTTCGATAAAACTGTAATCCGTGATTTAGATCACGTCTTTAAAGTAAAAATACAGCAGACTTTAGATGACAAAGAAAAAACAATTTTACATAAACAAAACAATACTTGAAAGCCTTTGATCTTGATCATATCTTTTATACGATCCACAATGAAGTAGTAGCCGTCTTCGTCAAAGTATCCAACATCGCCTAAGAAAACATAACTGATAAAGTTTTGAGAGCGTTTCGGAACTTAATTCTGAAGCGACCTTCATTGTTAAAACAAAAATCACGAAATCTCAAGAACTGTTCAGAAATGAACACATGCAGACGACCACCGATTAGACAGAACTGTAAGATGGAAGACAGATGCCAGTTTGTAGCGAGACCTAAGAATCACGTAACGTTTATAAGAACACCTTTCTTAGAGCTGACAGCTGCAAGTCACAGATTCGCTGGAGAATAGCATGAAACCAAAATACGTTTTGTACGAACAAATACGATATGAAGTGATTTGCGGCAGTGAACAAATATGATATAAAGTGATATAACCTTGATCAATTCCTTGAATCTGTACAACACTGCTGCTCATCTATTCCTAATCTAAGCTGACGAGGTTAACAGCATATCCTGAATGGTCTTCGGCTACTATTAAAGCTCAGATAACTGAGTAATAATAGTGAATTGGTAGAGTTCAAGATATCTATGCCAATAATGAACGATATCTAAGTTACTAGTAATGAACGCAGTGGTTAACATATGTGAACTGATGAGTGCACCAGTTTATCATGGTAAGAAGCATATTCGCCATCCTCCTCACAGTTTAAAGCTTTCTACCCTTTCAGCAAATCCTCCACAAAAACTGCTTAACAAAGTCACATCGTACCAGTATGAAGCCACCCTTCAGAATCGATCAGTTGTTCCGTAGCACCTTCGTTTCCGAAATATCCCAAACAACAAGCTGGGCCGCGTAGACAAATTTCGCCCCGTTCCATTGCGTTGCGCGTTTTACCAGACTCAAGGTCAATAATCTACAAAAGCCACGCTAAGTTCAGATTATAAACGAAGAATTTAAACGATCTTATGTCCTTCCTGAAATTCAGCGTCAAAAACTGCCAGCACAATTAACTTGAAAATAAAAGCTAATTCATGGCATTTTGTTCGTAGCTTCGTTTCGGATAATAGAAACGTATGGAATGCCGCCAAAATGCAAGCGAGTCCTTGCTGTTTTACAAATTCCAGGGTCTCCTGGCACTGGCAGAGTAGGGAAGAAGCATTACTTCTTATCAGGAAAATCTGGATATTTCAAAACTGTGCTATGTAAGCAAGAGGCTACATCGAACAGCCTTCACGCACAAAGCGCTCTCAGATGCCCTTAGTAAGATCACTGATGATGTACTGAAAATCGTCGCCGCCTCTGAAAATAACCCCATAATTTAAATCACAACAGTACAGTAACAAGGAAGAGGCAAAATGCTACAATCTCGTGTTACCATGCGATTTATAAAAAATAGCATTAAATACTGCGTAAAATCAATTTTTACTTCAAGAAGCAGGTCATGCTCCTCAAGAAAATGAAGAAGCAAGTCATTCTGTGTCCAGTATTCCCTCGAAAAGTGTCAACATCCTAGCCCATAGAACCTTTAAAGTTTAAGCAAAGACTTTCAGCGAAAATAGTAATGACTCGAAAATAAACAAAAACTGAGTCTTACATCAATTAACTTTTGTAATGACGTTTTACCATAAAATTATTCATGCATAATATGTATCTTCTAAAAATAAATTGTGTAGCTTTGACAGAATCTAGGGAATCGTTGTACATTAGTGTGTAAATTTTACGAAGTTTAAATCGCACATTTAAAAAAATGTTTCAAACAAGTTAGTACAGAATCAAGCAGTGCACATGCGTTTACAATTTCAAACCAATGCCTCAGCGATTAGGCGACGGACCGAAACTGCTACGTGTGAAAAAGCCATAATACGAAGTAAAATAGCAACTACCAGAGAACAGAGCTGAAAATATCTATTAAAAAATATGGTGTAACAAAGAAAGCAGTGCTCAACTAATCGCTGTCTGTTTATTTTTCCGCTGTGTTAGAAGCTGAAGTCTGAAAGCTATCACAGGAAAACGAACATAAAGCTAAAAAAGTACAAAAAACAGATGCGATTAGTTCAGCATAGAAAAGTTCCATACACAATCATCTTTAGCCATTGTCGATCCACTGCTGGATCTCTTCATAGCTTTATTATAAACTACCGTGATATGTTATTTTTATCCATTTTGATTAACGAACTACGTCAGCTCGTCAAGTCATCGACCTGGAGACCTTCCTACAGGCATTTACTCTCGCTTGGAACCCTGTCTAATGTCGCCCAGTGACGGTTTCAGTTATTCTTGCATCTCCAATTCATCGTCATATTAACTTCTTCACTCAGTCAGTGACATCGCAGCCACTTGTTTGTACTCCTATCCATTCATTTGATTTGCATTAATTCATTTTTTTGTTATTCTCAACATACATCTTTCCAGGCAAGGCTGCGCATCTTTCGAGCTCAGGGCTCAAGTTTCGCAT